AGATAAACAATCCCATATGAGAATACATAATTTGAAATTTTCGCACTATTCATAAAATCTAGGTGTGAAAAATATGTGGGCCCACAATAATACTTATAATTATATTATAGATTTTTTTTTTCAATTATAATATAGATCCACAACATAAATAATTGAATATTGACTGAAAATGCAAATTTATTTTTTTCTAATAAATGATACGCGTGGCATGAATGAGGAATTATGGAGGTGGGGACCCTTTGTTTCATACCCAATTGCAAATTATCAAGTTTATTTATCGAGATTTGTGAAAAAAAAAAATCAACTCCTTGAAACACCAAAATATGAATTAAAGTGCTTTTTGGGAACTGTATCAACTATTGCGGCACTGACATATGAAAAAAACCATAGACATGCACCCTATTTTTTTAGAACTGAATTAAAGTGCTTTGTGGGTATTAAATGCAAAATTACATTTAGGTCCTTGAACCTTTTCTAATTTTCAAGAAAAATGCCCAACTCAATTTTAGGTTTGCAGGGGATCGAGAAGGGCTGCATCTCCTCCGGACGCGGTTCTCCGGCCAATTGAACGCACTCAGAGAGAGTCTCGCCGATTGTCTGCTCCAATTGCAACAGGAGCTTCTTGTTCGGGTTGGTGGAAAGTAGAGTTGGTCGCGAATGGAAGTCGCAGGAGTTGAGCGGCGGCGCTGTAGACTCATGCTGTGTCGACCGGTGCCGGCGAACGGGAGGTCGCCGTGATGAACGAAGAACATGGCGTGTGCATGTGTGTTGCGGGTTCAGTGGATTGTGGTAGCTGAAATTTCAGGGAGCTTCTGCAGACTTGGGCGGCGGCGCTAAGTTGCAGGCGGCGGCGATCGGCGCCGGAGAACGGGGTGGCCTCCATGTGTAACTCGAAGAACATGTGTGTGTGTGTGCGTGCTGCGGGATGGTGGTGACCTGAATTTTTGGGAGAGCTTTGTTAATTCCCATCGGTGATGGCGGCGTTGGCCGGTGGTGGCGACGGCGCCGGTGAGTTCTGCTTTCACGCGAGTTTTTTTTATTTTTTTCGTTCGCAACAGGTGAGAGAGAGGGGAGAGAGACGTGTTGGTGTGGTGTGATTGCTTGTGGGGCCCACAATTTTGTTATGTGGTTAGATATCAATTAATTACTTATTTACTCTTAATGAGTGTGAAAAATTGCTATTTTTGTAGTCGTTAGATTGTCGGATCTAATGGCTAGGATGTATTCTTATTTCTTTCATTGAGAACCATTTTCACCGGAGCGCGACCCCAAATATAGTATCATATATAAGTTCTAACATCAAATATGAAAACAAATAAGAGATTAAATAACTATAGTTGCTATAAGTGGTGTATTGGTTTGAGATTTTTAAAAACTAATTGGGATTTTGACACTGAGTTTGTTAAGACTTTAAGCTTTGTTAAGATTTCAAAGGCAAATTACATAGTCATTTCCCACCACCAAATCACATATTTGGACTTAAGGAGGTTGTATTCTTTTGAGATTTTGAGTGACGTGTTAAGATTTTTTTGAGATTTGAGATTTTTTAAGAGGGTTGGAGATGAGATTTGAGGTGAGACTTCGTAGTGATTTTTGTTTATGAAATCTAAGAAAATCACAGTGTCAAATAAACCAATGATAAGAATATTTGAAATTCCAAATAAATAACTTGGGACTCTTAAAAGTATTAAAAACTAAAAGATAAATACACTAAGATTCTAAAAAAAATTACATTAGGATTCCTGAAATCCCAACAAGTCTTTAAAAATCCCGAATTAATACACCACTGCATGATTTCTAAGAATTTAACTAAGATTAACAAACCTTTTAAGAAATCTCGGATTTTAATATCTTACAATATCACTCAAAATCCCAAACGAATACACCATCTGATGTGCAATTCCTCCTTGGACAGGAAGCAAACAATTTATGAACTTTCCTCTTCCTAGGGGTTTGTTCTTGTTGACATGCAAAACACATTGGGGAGATTCTCGAGGAAAAACCACCGATGTCCAAGTTAGTAACGAGTTTTAGCCAAGTTATATTCCAGAATGTATGTTGCACGTAATAATATATCAAACATGTAGAACGCATTCTATATATAAATTCTACCCTCTTGCCCAAGTCACCCCATTATTAGGAATGAGATTTGAATATATTTTGTTTCCTTGTTGGATACAATCCTAGATCTCCAAATCGCATACATGATCTTTTATGTTAGGACTCTTCATGGTTATCCAACTCTAACGACCCTTTTCCTTTTAGGTCGTCTTCTTCCAGCTTTTAGACTTCATAGACCTCATTCTTTCGACCTACTACTTAGGTCTCATCTCGCCTTTTCACCTGAAGAAAATGTCATGAAGCTCTTACCGAGCTACTTCCTGGTCATGCTTGACACACGAGATCATTAGACCTCCAAACAGAGCGCCAAGATGTCCACCATACTGGACCACCACACTATTCTAGACATCATTTAGCNNNCCCTCCTCTCCCCAAGTTATCGTACAAGCTTAGAGGCTTGCCAGATAATGCGAATTATTATTATATGGGCATTTAATGCAAAATAATTGATGTGCCTCATGTCTAGCATGTGTGAGAAAACTACCTCTAGTTCTTAAATATGTTTTATCCTGATCGTTCATATCCCATTAATCAAACTCTCAATACGATGTGACCTTTGATGTGTCATACCATCTTTATGAAACCAAAAAGGAAAAACTCTGTTACCATCATGCAGAATCTTAGTTTTCTCTGTAACTTTTTACTTTCCCGGCTTGAAATTCCAGGTGATTCCCTTTCATTCTCTTACAACCTTCTGCAGAACTCCGATCACCATCTTTGTATCCAGCCGCAATGAGTATGTAACGAAAAATCCCCTTCAACTGTGTTTCTCATTTTATTTATTACATTTTCCTGCATTTCATCTTTAATCCTAGTATTTTTCTATTATTCGAAACAAAACAATCCACCATGTCTAACATATCCAACTCTATCAACCAAAACGAAATATCCTCAAGCTTTTCTCCCTTATTAGTTATTATTCCCTAAGACCCCAGATATGACCCCTAGGTTGCATAGGAATTTAGTAGATGAACCTTTAAGAGATGTGGAATGGGTAGAATTAAATAAGTTACTAGAAAATTTATCTAACCTCTTTAACACTACCCCCTGCAAGAGTACTAGTACCCGTCTCTGAGCTGAGAGCACATAAAGCCTTCATTACTGTATAAACAAATAAACGAGCTTAGACCGTTCTCGAGTCTCTTAAACTAGTAAAAGCCAATCCTTTTTTTTCTCCCAGAATGAATCCATTCAATCATTCGTTAGGATGTGCGAGCTCCCTCTTGGTTGGACCTTTAGAGCTCCCAAACTAAGCATTGCCCACAACGGACTTCTGGCAGGCTTCTAAACCCTTTTTCTGACCAAATTATAAGTGGATTAAGGTTTCTCTTTGAGACGACCTTCTTCATTTAAGTCAACTATATCATCTACCCTTCAATAATTGTTCACCCAACTCGATTCGAGTAGTGTAGGTTTTATTCTCCTCAGTCGTAGTTTCCTTCAAGCTTTCGATCCTAACCTCTTCTAATCAGACTTGTCAAAACGGGCCTGAGCTCGCGGGCCGGATCGTCCTACCCCGCCCCGCTAAAGAGAGGGCTTAAACAGGCTGGCCCGCGCGGGCCGCGGGTTTTGACGGGGCGGGCCGTGGGCCAGNCCAAAAAAAAAAAAAAACAGAAGTATAAAAAAAAATTATGAATCCCAACGTGATACAAATTGAAATTATAATGGGCAAAAAACATGGACATTGTAAAGTGTTTATATGCAAGTTTAATTCACCACAATAATTGGAAACACATAAATGCCTTCACATAAACATGTTACAAAAGAACAAACCATTACTAGAAGTTCATGGAATAATTTTGAGGGAATTTTTGGAAGCTTTGATGATTGGCTGTGCTGCTGGGAGATTTTTAGTTGGGGGCAGGCTATGGAGTTCGAAAGGGAAACCAACTTTTTGCAGTGCTTGTTGATGTTTTTTTTTTCCCAAGTTTTTTTCTTTTTTTATTTTGGTCGGCGGACTGGCCCGCCTAGCCCGCGGCCCGCAGCGGGGTTGTGCTGGGCTGCCCTTCTACAGGCCTGTCGAGATGGCGGGCTGGCCTGCCCCGCCCCGCCAAACGGCTGTTTTTTACGGGCTGCGGGCCGGCCCACCCCGTCGGCCTGTTTTGACATGTTCTTCTATATCTACAGCCTAATAATCTCATTACCTCATAGCCCGCAACCATGCGAACTTCTTCCATGACCTACCCTTCAACATATCTGCCATGAAGACCAAGTTCTTTTTTTGTAAAACTGACCAAGGTCACCTTAGAATTTTCCCCCGGATGGCTTGAGGAATGCCCTAACCAAATGAAAAAACTGATATGCAAAATGATATCAAATTTCGTTCAACATCACCAAGCTCTCTGATACAAGACTGAAATCTTATTACAGTCTGACCTCCGTTAGGACTCTTCCTCTCGATGACCTAGGTACACTTGGCTATATATCCTGTACTGAATCATTTAATTCATTGGTAATTTAGCTGAACTGGTTTTCTTGTTTTGTTACGCAAAGAAAATCCTAAATAAGTCTATCTTTGGATCAAGATCCACAAAAAAAAGGGCCACTCGAGCTTCCCTAAAAGTTCGTTCCATCAAAAGCAATACATGAAGAGGAGAACCGATGCTCTTCGAAGAAACAAAAAGACGTCCTTACATGTCTTCAAAAGCCCGATCAATGGGCCCTCAGCAAGGACCCCGACTCTAGCATGCCTATCTTATTTCCATATTTTTGGATGGAGAAAAATACTAGAGGAATGGCGAATCTCGTATTTAAGTAGGCTATGCCATGCACCGCCTTGCGTATGTATCTTTCTCGTGCTCGAACATACTATCGTATTCACTTTATTTGTTCTAAGCATCCTGCTTTTCTAAGGCATTGTACAGAATTTCTCCCATTCTTCACGAAGTAATTGGGGGAGACATCTCATCTTCTAAGACGGAGAAGACGAAGAAAGAGTTAGAAGACGCGCAAACGTCGAACATCAAGCTAAAATAGGTTGTGAAAAACCAACTAGCGGTTGGGGAACGCTTTCTTGAAAGATGAGATCATCCCAAGATAAAGCTCAATTAGCTCAGGAAATGGCTCATCAAGCTAAGCTCAAGAGGCTAAACCACTTGTCTGCCGAAAAAGAGAAGTAACTATGGAAGGAAGATCAAACCGGTTTCCCCTTCTCACCAGTAACGGAACGTTTTCTCGCATTGTCTAGACACGAGCTTCTCAAACTCTACAAATACTCTATTCCCTACCTCAACCTACTACCTCATAATGCAAACAATATCTCCAGCGCGCTGCAACCATAACTAGAGCACAATTCGGGGTTGGGATCTACAATGTAGAGTTCGATAATAAAGTCTTGTTCGATAATGAAGACCTCATCTCCGGTATTAGATGGTTGGTTAACTGATCCTAGCTTACCCCTCAACCATTCTTGGTGGGAAACCAACCTAGAAAATGCCATCAAAGAGGCTAATCTGGAGGATGAGCTCGGTCCGATGGCTGAATCACCGGATGAGCACGCCGCATCCTCACTAAGAAGTCTTCTTATATTAGGGCCTATGTATTCAGAACTAATAATCTTTGTACATTACTTATCTATGTTGAAAGAACCATACTATTTTTTGTAAGCCACCTATATGTAGCTGTTTTTTGAACTCTCAAATGATGGTTTATACTTATAACTACTTATCATTTGATCTATCATAACACTCGAGCTATCGTACATCGGACTTAAGATATGACTTTTCAGTAGCATCCGATCTATCGTAGCTTCGACTTAAGCTACAACTTTCGCATTGCGTCACTAACTAAGGACATATTCAATACGAAATTGAAAACTATTATTACTTGCAAACAAATCTACAGAACACCTATGATTACCAAAAACAAATATATCAAAAGAATTCATATATAGTACTTCATTATATTGGCCATGTTAAAAGGTCGCGAAAATGCCCTTCCCTTCTCATCCCTCATCTCATACACCTCTCCGATGAGCAGTCGTACTTTGTTTGGCCCCTTCCATTTTGGTTATAACTTCCCTATATGTTTTAGTGTATCAACTCATTTCCAAATCAAATCACCCACCTAGAATCTTTGGAGCTAAACTTTCTTATCACTCGTTGTACTTTGCATCCAATGGCGCGAACGCTATTCGGTGGTTCTACAAGTTCCCAGACGTAATTGGACTCCATTGACTCCATCCCAGTCTCCACTGTACTTTGCCAAGATTTTGCGTCCTAATCTTGGAGTGCCTCATTGTAACACCCCGCTTATCAGAGTAAATTTTTCGCAACTTTTACTTCGAAAATACTTAACTCTTTCGAAATCTTTTGCGACTAACTCGGGATGCTACTCAAACTCATCATCTTGAAAATCCGTTTATCTTTAAACTTTTGTCTAATACTTCTTTAGACATAAATAATACAGATTTCCTTTAAACTTGCATTTAAAATACCATAATCATATTTCTCATAATGGTAAAAACTTGAAATCTGAATTTCATTAAAATGCAAGTTCAATACTTAATGTGCATAGCGGAAATACTTGAAAACGTGGTTAATTATACAGACTGTTATAAATGTCCGTATCAAAGCTTGTCTTCATCTGAGTCCACGATCCACACCAACACTGCTCCACTCACACCTCCTCTTCGACCTGTTACCTGAAACTAAAACTCATGGGGGTAAGTAACGAATATGGATAATCATAAACCGATATCTGATCGGTAACCAGAAATCTGTTCTGGTACTGAAACTTAAACTGGCCGTATCTGATCGGATACGTGTGCACACTCTGATGGATATTTCTAAGGCACCTAATGGCCTCCATCAGAACTTAGGATATAATCTCTGAGAACAAATTAATGCCTCCTCATCCTAAGCGTAAAACTTAAACTGTAGGATATACTCTGAGACAACTGATGGTCTCCTCATCCAATATGACATCAATATCGTACTCAACGTGATACCCATTCAGGGTCCCCACCTTTTTGTCTTTGAAATCATTTGAAAAAAACGATAAGTGCTGTACTGGTACTGTATCTGCAAGTTACATCAAATATAAACAAATATACTAAGTACTATGCTCGTATACTCAATAAGAATTTTAGGATTATTAACTTATCCAAATCTTATAGAAATTCATTAAACTTGCTTTTTCTCAAGTTTATACTTAACTTCTTTTTTTACTTTTACTTAAGGTCAATTGCTTAACCTTATAAATCATGTCTTCATAAACATCAATATGGTATTATACTTAGCATGTCATAACTCAACTGTGAAAATAACTATATTTCACATTATACTTGATTGAGTTTTTAAACTTAAAACATGCTTACTTTTACCAACATCATCAACATGATTTATAGCTTATCTTAATTTAATTTGATCAAATACTTAATTCATCATACATCATATTTCCCAATCTTTAGATATTGGCTTATACTAAATTTTCACTTAATTAACTTGAAAGTGAAAATAATCTCAAGCCATAATCATCTTTTACTCATAACATTTAATCATGATGTTAATATGTCATACTTAATACAATCTTTAAAAAATTTTATACTCAATATATTATACCAAAACCTCATCAAATTACTCATCACTTATAGGAGAATTACTCATGATCATCTCATTTTAACAACTTAAACATTTCATGAATATTCTTGCATATATATACTTATCTTTACATATATGCTTTCTTATATTCATAACTTATTCATTTCTCATCTTTAAATTATGAAACTTAACAGTCATATTCTTAACTCATATTTGGACTGTCATAAAAATTTCATAATTTTATCATGCATATATCTCGACTTATTCAAGTTTAAAGTTGCTGCTGGAAACAAGTACATAAAATTCAGCTTGCATGATAAACTTTAAAAATTCATATCTTGAGTTATACTAAACTAAATGACTTGATTCTTGATCCTATGTACTCCTCTTTTACACAAGAAATAACCATAGAAAGCATAGATTTCCAGATTTTTCATAGCTATGTAAAAATCTCATCATAACTGAACACATATGACATATATATGAGTTGGAAATAACATATTTTCTAGCATGCTTATATTCATATAAAACTTTAATATCTTTGTCATATAAAAACATTATTAAACACTTAATATCATCTACTAAACATGTAAACTCATTATCAAAACATGAACTTAAGCATGTAACTTTAAGATAAGTAAATTACCTCCTTCTTGCTAGAATCGTAACTTAATTCTTCACTTTTAAATTCTTCACTTCTCCAAAGTTTCTACTACTCATTCTCTCTTACACTCTTATATAACTTTTGGTACTTAACTTTGGTGTGAGAACTCTAATTTTTAGGCCTCTATTTATAGGCACAAATTGGCAAAACATCATAATGGAGTGAAGAAATGAACAAAATAAACAATTTAAACCTATAAACTTAATTAATCATAAACTATTTTATGATTAACTTGTACTCTTATCCAAACATAATTAATCATAAAAAATGGCCTTTAGTTATAGCCATGAGTGAGCTTTTTGGTAGATAAAACTTATTCCACCAAGTTTAATAAAATTCTCATCAATTGTTGAAAAAAAATGCTAACTTAAAGACTTAGCAAAACTTTGTTGTGATTTTCTCATCTCATTCTCACCAATTGATGCCCAAAATTTCGTGCTTAATGTGATGTAATTGATTCCATATATTATTGAAAAAATGTCACCATTCATCATATAAAAATCTTTGGAACAAAATAATAAAAATAATAAAAATTATTTTTTTTATTACTTATGCATTTTCTTTCAAAATGGCTGATTTTTAACACTCTTTTACTGAAATTAATGCTCATATATGGTCTTGGATCATGCTAATAAACCGAGAATAATACAATTTACGGAACTCAATTCGGACTTAAAACGAACGTTTACCGTAAAACTAAAAATTCTAAAATTTAAATTCTTTACTCACATTTTTTTCTTCAATTTAATGAACATAGTGCTTCTTAGGATCTAATATAATTATCTTAAAATATTCTACATTTACGGAACCACATTCGGACTTAAACCGAACGATTACCGTAAAACCGAAAATTCTAAAAATTTTGATTTCTATTAAAATAATTTAAATAGACTATAATGTCTAAATAAATATTCTCACTTCTTTGAACATTTATCACTTAAATGTTCATGGATACTTAACCTTACTTCAAGACTTAACTTGTATCAACTTATGCTAAAACTGAATATTATGATCTTATCTTGATGACTTAAACACTTAGAAAAATTCTAAGTATTTAGTACTAAGGCTCGGCTATTTCTTAATTAAGTTCAACTCATGACCGAACATACTTGGTTTCAGTTCACTACTTATCTTAAACGATTAATCAAAATATACTCAATTTCGATTATTCGTTATCTTATATTAATTAATCCCGTCTTATAAATAAATTTATAAACATAAACAGACCGGAATTAATTAATTACTGAACTGGCTCATTTACTGAACAATATTGAACCGAGAATACTTTCAACTTAAAGTCGAATTTTTAACTGAATAACTTAATAACTGGCTCGAAACGAGGAACGAGCATTAATAAAAGTAATTATTCTAAGTTAGAATAATTACTTTTATTAATTACTGAATGGGATATTACAATCTACCCCCCTTAAAACTATTTCCGTTCTCGAAAATACTGGAATTGAGATATATACCAATTATGTATATATATCATAACTCAAAATCTGGAAAAACGAGTGCTAATATCAACTTCTCACTCCCCAGTGACATCCAACTCTATATGTGGCGATTCCATTTTATACTAACGAGGGAATATCTCAATTCCTCAGCCAATGAACCTTCTGGTCCAAAACTTCTATCGGCTGGTCCTCGTAAGTTAAATCTTACTGAAACTCATTGTGCAAAAGCACATACTCTGGATCGCACACATACTCACGTAACATTGTTACGTAAAACTTTATGCACACTGGACAACTTTAGAGAAGAATTGATATTAAATACTTATCTGACTAACTATGCATTACATTGCATACGATTTACCCACTACCCGGGGCCCTTCGGGTGCGGAACATCTATATGCATTGTACCTTAATGTCAATGTCACTTGTAATCATTAACAAGTCACATGTCCATTCTATACTAACATCTTACTATACTAAACTTGCTTCTCTTTTGAAAAACCTTTTTACTCAATATTACTATTGATATTTACTTCAACTTCTCCGACTTAACTATAGCCGAGAATTTCGTTGAAATTTCTGTACTGATGTGGAATAACTTGACCATTCTGTGGTCATACCATAATTCCAATCATTAAGGTAAACTTTATTTACCTTTAATAATTCAACTGCCATAATAATGTTGCAACATCTCACTTATTGCCGACATCTCACATCTGATTTTGATTGCATTAAATGCATACTGCTGTGCATCTTCTGACATTCGGTATAATTTAATCATACCTGATAACTTATCTCATACTCATCTTTCTTCTATAAACCAACTTGGAAATCCATCCATCTTCTTCAGCAATGGTCCGATTTCACCAATGGATTTAGCACTGCTAAAAATCCGAAAATTCTATTCTTTTCTCCCTCTTAATATCATAAAGAGAATTTATCGAGCTCGAGTAGAAAGATTGAGAATACTCATGCTCAATAATATCCCAAATGATATAAGATGGCTGATTGAAGCAAAAGTTCGTATATCTGGCTAGTATCCCAATGCATACAAGTATCTGTCAGGTATGGGTAAAAGCACTTTTGCCAAGAAACGTAGAGCAAAAAGAATAGGCGGCTGCTATAAATGTGCTCGCTGGAACTGTGACACTCGCTGTACTTCTTTGGGCTTTGTCTCAAATAATCGCGAAGATAAAATAACTTTCATCAAGAATGGCTTGAGTAAGGAATCTCTGGATCATACTATTCAGCAGATTCTTGATACACATTCTAGTGGATATGTGCATCAAGAACTGATGTCTTTATGGCTTCTGTTCAAACATGAAAAAAAATCTCTATAGTC